TGAGTACAGATGAATAGAAGAGAACTGTTAAGGAACCTGATGAATCGCTGTCTGCGGACCAGCATCCTCTTCTGAAAGAATAACTACCTACCTGGTCGCTTAATGTTGCAGAAATAAGGACACAAGTTCCGTTACGTTTCGTTTTGTTTATCTTTTGCTTCGTTTTTGCAGGGAAAAATAGAGATGTTGCGTCGAGTCGACTTGCAAGCTGTTCTGAAATCTGACGTCACAATCAACTTGTACAAGCATCGACCTCTTCCTCGTCCAATAGCATCACTTCCTCGCAAAAAGGGGTCAAATACATGCTTCATCAACGTGGGCTCATTACAACCAGGGGATTCGTGGGTAGGTAATGATGCAAGTGAATGAGCAAAGAGATGGTTTTGGTAGCCCATCATTAATGCGTGACTGCGCGAAAAGTTGGATTTTAATGTTTTTACAATAAAAGTGAGAAAAAGATGAACGATTACCCTTGACACCAATGCGGGAAGCTTCCCTAAATAAAGGTGTCCCTTGCCAACGCAGAGATATGAAGTTTGCGCATGTACGGCTAGGTTACGGCTATAGTAGTGGCTCTGCGTTACTCTTTCGAGAGTGTTTAAAGAACCACACAATCCAGTAAAATACGATTTTTCTAAATTGTGTAACTTCTTTTTAAACTAAATAAGAGAAAAAGAAATGTCAAATCCGCAGAATATCCATAATGAAATCAACTTTGGGTTCGGAAGAGTCTTCCAAAGTCTTCCTTTCCTCTAATTTCATTTCTGTTCATACATTTTTCAGAACGTTTTGAATTTGTTTAGGAAATCTTATCTCTCTCCGGCAATTACTTATGTTTCCCTGTAAAATTTTGCGCGGTTAAATTACTTAATGGCTGACCAAAACTGATTCACCTGCGCATGCTCGAAATATGACCGGTGTGCTGTGCATATACGACGATAAATCGCTGTGTTTAGCAAGCCTAAGCATCATTTTTTACTCCTCTGCTCCAGGATCTAACGACCATGGGGGCTACTGATCAAGCAGCTGGTCCGGGGAATATTCTAGTGAGCGCAGGAGTTCGAGTTTTAAAAGTTCCCAAGAGGAGAGTTGTGGAGTTAAGCCCTAGAGGACACATGGAGACATTTGAAGAAAATTTTAACCCCAAACACAGGTTAGTAACAATGAACCAAGTAAGAATTCTAATTTTAAACGCTGTAGTCAGTCTCGTTCATTAATTCATATATAAGGTTCTTCCAGTGATGATATATCCTCCCATGCAGGCTGGAAAGAATAAGGAAAGGCTACGTCTTTAAAAGTGACATTGTAACTAAGCGGCGCGGGCGATACAGCTACAACCACGTTATTCAAAACTACCCCCAGCTCTCCTTAATCATTCTTAGCCTTCAAAGCTAACAGTCTTCCAGCAGTGACAAGAACAACATACTTTTAAGCCACGTCATGAGAAGTTTTGTTTCCTTGTTAATTGATCAAGTGAATGCAGTTTCTTTGATTTAAAATCCTTAATTTGAGTATTTCGTTCTCTTTCACGCAGATGTCTGACGGATGAGGAACTTTATCGAGATTATCTGGCCGCTGAGGCTTGGTTAGACTACAGAAAGAAAGTTGTACGGAATGTTATAGACTCTAAAGCGGGGCGCTTTATTGCGCATGTTTCTGCCACAGAAAAGGGATCCTCAGGTTGGACGACGTGGCCTGGTAGCAAGCCTGGAACGTGATTTTACGAAATACGAAAATGTTTGAACTAGATGAAAAGAGCTGCTTTGACTTATCTCAGTATTTACGATAAAAAACCTCTAGTCCTGACTTATGTGGAAAAATCTGGCCATAACAAAATCATGCCTCGCCAATACAAGAAGAAGAGGATATTGAGGGGTGAAGTTACGGCCGTTGCTTTGTCACGCAACGTCGGTGGAGAGAACCCTCTGTTGTCTCCCGACGTTGCGTGATAAAGAGAGGGAGAAAAAAGTTACTAATAAAAAGCACTGCGTCGAACACGATTACATTTATGTATATGAGAACGATCCTTCGCAGTAAAGTGCTTTACTGCGAAGGATCGTTCTCATATACGTCTCATAACCGCAGTTCACACATATGTTTCATATGTTTGTTGTTGTACGATTACATTTGTTTCAATAGCCTGTCCTTTTCTTTTGTTGCTCAGTCTACCCCAATGTTATCACCGGTAGTCCTTGACATTTCATCAAGGCTATGAGTATGACACAATCTATATAACTGTCGGCCTCAAAAAAGGGTGGGGCTGGATATGTTGAGGGATCGCCGGATTTTTCCTTATCATAGACAAGGATTGCGGGTTCTGGACCGCATGGTTAGTTTTTGGTTGGCTCTGGCTGAGTAGTGGAACGATAGGTTAAGGGATCGGTGTGTCTTGCTATAACAAATACACGGATTGCGGGTTCTAGATTGTGGATCTTATGGTCAATTTCGGTCGGGTTTAGTAGTCTTGAGCTCCAGATGCCTTCAGTGCCTTGATGCTCTATACAACGCTACCTTCTCAAACACATATACTCAAAACTAAAACTGTTCAGGAAGATGAAAAGCGAAAAACGGGAGAGTTATCCTTCGGAAATTTTTAGATTGACGCGGATCTGGATTTCAACGAAAAAAAACTTCAGATCCACAGATCGGGCCGAAAAGTAACCTGGATCGACGGACTTGCAGACCCCTGTTCATGCCTTTCTTCCTCTGAAAAGGTCTTCCTTACTCTGATGATGTATGATAGTAATAGACAATAATAATAATAATAATAATAATAATAATGAATAAATAATATGGCGGCAAGTAGTGTGGACGTGTTTTAGAGTGTTCTCATAAAAATCCGTTCCCATCGAAAGCAGGGCGAGTTTAGAGCGCCAGAGCATCCTTAAAGAAGTATCTAGTATACTTTGCAGATTGTTAAGCAGTTTTGCGAGACTATTTGGCGTCTCTGAGCGGAGTTTTAGCTGAGTTGATTTTGATTTTGTTTGGATGTGCGAGCGATTTGTATCATGGCGGATGGACGACGACAACAGGCGAACGGATGGAGACGATGGAAGGTTAGGAAGGTGGCAGTTTGAGTTCCTGTTAGAAGGAGGACCGTAGAAACAACGGAAAAGCTTTTTAGGATTAGTTAATGTACATTTATGTACATTAACTAAAAAAAACTAAAACTGGCCGATTTTGTGTGTGTGTGTGTGTGTGTGTGTGTGTGTGTGTGTGTGTGTGTGTTTGTGTGTGTGAGAGCGCGAGTGAATGCGGTAGCGGGCGCGGGTGGGTCGACATGAAATTCATTAAAGACGCGTTTTTAATAGCTTATTTTCCCGTTTAGAAACAACATTCTCATAACAAAAAAAAAACAAAAAAAACAAAACGAAACAAAGAACTACTCAAAAAATTAAACTCATCTCAAGGTTGGCCTACTAGCCAATGGTCACTAATTTGCATAATGGTAAACCGTTGATAGTTCGATTTTTGAAGTTGACTAACTTTTCTGTGCTATACATATATATATATTTGCATCAATTGCTACGCATTGCTTGCTCAATCACAGGTTAAAACGTGTACACTGAATTATTTTGACTAACAGGAAACATCTGGACATAACAGATAGTTCGCCTACCCCAGGAGGCTACTCCGGCTCGGTAAAGGAAAAGTTGAATCACGCACGCATACTGATTGGTTCTGCTTCTAATCTATTGGAGGACAGGCGTATTACTTCACCAGTACTAAACAAATGTTTCATTTTTTTATTATATAAAACAAGGAGATTGCATGTTGATGTGGGTCTGCTCAGTAAAAGATCGCAGAATACATCAAAATGTGGTAACAACGTCAGTGACACATTCTGCTGCGCCTCGTGGCAACCTCATCCCCAGTGCCCCACCCCCAACTTAGGGCAAAGGCCCTGGGAACGAGGTTGGCCTCGTGGGCCACTTTTGTGTTCTCACCACGTTTAATTTTGACGTCACCATTTTTTTTAGAACTGAAGAGACGCAAGGCATCGTGGAATCTATTTGTTAATTACACATCACAAACAAAGTTACTTGCATACAAAGAATAAGAACATCAGCAACAATTTAAAGTTGAGCGAACTTCATTTGAGGAATTTTTTTTTAACAACTTGAACGTATTTACTTCTTGTATTCTTCTAAGAGAAGCTGGATCTTCGTAAAATTCTTTTCCTTCGCGATATCAAAAGCTGTTTTTCCTGTTTCATCTTCTATAGTTGGGTCTGCTCCCTTGTTAGAGAAAAAGAAAATGTGGTGCATTGAATATGTGGCTCGCTCCAGACGTATATTGGGTAGCTAATAAGAATATCAAGCTGATGCGAAGTCTACTTCAAGGCGGTTTCCTGGGCTGTCGACCGGAACGCAGTGCTAGACCTCGACGCTCATCCAAACATAACACTTAAAAAGACGCCACAGACATTTATTTTGTATGCTCAACCGGGAATCTACTAAGACCATGTTCACGATGACCAAAATTATTTCGCTCCGACGAAGGGCTAACGCTCGAAACGTCAGCTTTTATAATCGTAACGGTGGCCAATTTACCATTTCAACTTTGTTGATATATTCAAAATTATTTAGCTCTGTATTTCTCTATTATTTTAAAAATGATCACCCTGCGAAAACTAATTGACGGATATTCTCTTACAGCTTGCTCCAGCTACAGGGGTTCAGTTTGCCCTTTCAGTGAAAAGGAATGTGGTCGCACTCCGAATAAAAAAAAAAACGTTTAGCAAGCAGATCGTGACCTGTCGCAAACCTCATTCCTTTATTTCTCTTTGCAGTATTATCAGTCCTCCCCTCTCCGCCTAACCCCGTGTACTAACTGAACCCCTAGTTAATCCTATTGCTCAAGATACACCATTCAAAGTGGTGCATCAAATCATTCTCCAACTACCTCTCCCCCCCCCCGTAACAATCTACTCTTTGAACACGTGTCTAAGATTGTACCTTCAACAGTACAAAGGATGTGGAAAGAAATTGGATTGTTGCACGGTCAACATTCGAAATTATTCTGTGTTACCAATTATACTTCTCAAGATCTCGAGCACATTTCTACGTGTAAAACACAAATTACTTTGCCATATTCATATCTGCTGGCTCAGCGAGACAATTCGCCTACCTCTTTCAGAAGGAAAGCCGCAGTGGGAAGATGATCTTTATCAACTGCGGCCATAAGTGGAGTCATACCATCGAGGTCTTGGTACTGGAGAGGAAGATGAACATAGTTTTAAAGTGGAAGAGAAACAGAAATATAAATTACGTCTATTCCATGGACTATACACGATAATAGTTTGATGAGAAAAAAAAATTGGTTGCTGAAATGTTTCTTGACGTTTATGTGCCAATGTGAGATAAACTTCTTGCAAGGAAAAAACCAACCATGCAAAGGCTCCGGTTGGTTTGTCACACAACGCCCTCCCGTTGCGTGACATTAGAGAAGGAGTCAATGGTCAGTCCGACTTATCGAACGAAAATTGTGTTCTAAGGATAAAGGTGAGTTTCTCTAGACGATCACCTTAAGCTTTTCTAATTGAGAAGATGGATGGCTGTACTTCCTTCTGAAATGCAGCTGCGTGCCGCGGTAAAATTGTTTATTTAAAACAAGGTTCCTTTGCCCTATTGCTTGAGATAGGTCCGCGTGTTTCGTTATCATGTCTGTGTAATACATGTGGTGTTTTTTGATCACTATGAGGGTGTTGAAAATCAAAGATAAAAAATGAACTCCAAACAAACCGTTGCGAACACGAGCCAAAAGCGTGGAATGAAATCTGATAACCTCAAAACGTGCAAGTATTTGACGGTGGAAAACACGTTATTCGAGATCATTAGCAAACAATCATGCGCTATCAAGGCACTATTTTAGAGCGACAACAGCTACTGGGCTCAAATTACTGACAAAATCGTTCTAAAGAGCTATTAAATGTTTCTTCCAAGGGGGTCTGTTTCGGAATACATGTCCAATCAATACCACGCGATCGGGCTTGGTACAAGCAAGGTCTTAGTTTGAAGCTAATCATAACGACGCGAAGCACAAGATCTCAGCATTTTGCTTCTTTTGGCGGGTCTATGTCTATGATATTTTGTCTGATATCTGGCTCCGTCTTAAACTATTTTTAACAGGTTTAAACTATTTAAAACTTGAAAAAGAAGTCAGCTGTAAAGTTCATGATTAGGCAAAGACACTGAATTACGGTTTACAAAACAAGATATGTCCTTACATCAATGATAGCCATGTTTTCTAACAGAAATCTAACAATGGGAACCTTTCCTGCATCAGCGGCGTAATGGAGTGCATTTCGCCCGTGTCTCACCTCAGCGTTGATTTCAGTTCCCTGCGAAAGAATATTCCGTGAAGTTAATGATTGGGGTAGGGTAAGGTAAGGAATGATGAGGGAGAGATAAAGAGAGGGGAGGGATGGGTCAGCTTATTTGACCTCGGTCAACAACACTCACCCCTTGAAAAGATACTCCTTTTAATTACCTTCTATGCAAAGCTGTTCGGTCTTCTGATGTTATATTTCTTCCTACACGCCTAAAAGTTCCCATTTTTAAAATACTCTTGGCTAGCAGATTACTTGTACAGTTTCGCTTTTCCCAAGCTATTGCCAGACCAATCTGCACTGTGACGATTTTGCTATTGTTACGGTCGCTCCCAAGACCATATCAACATACCGTTATACTTCATTACCTAAAATCTAGGGATTGATTTTAGTTTCAAATCATTATTTTTTCTCTTATACTAACAGATAGCCAACAGAGGCGAAACCCGCATAGCGAGTTAACGACTTTGGGGCTTCTTTCCAGACAGCACCCCTTCGGTATTTACAACTAATAGAGTTCTCACCGGTCTTCTCAGATGTTTCTCCACATAAACTAAATCCCCAGTTTGAATGGCCTGGATAAACTGTTCGCTGGCGCTCATGATTTTAGTAGATTTTCAACTGGCGTCGAAGCAGGTACGGGGCACTGTCGGATATCAGCGAACTACTTAACAGATGTCTTCACGCACGGACTTCTTAGCTGCATGGATTCTTAACAATGATATTTATTAAATTCTTAAGCTCAGGTCATGCGAGTTGGCAAACGCACTGATCCATTCAATTTTGATTAATTATCGAGATAAAAGACCACATTGTAAACGTTTTGTCTCTTGTAGTCAAAGTGCTGATGGGGGGTTTATTGGTTTCTGTTGCCGTAAGCGCAAATAAACAAATAGATTTAAAACGCATTTGAATAAAAAAGTTGTCGAACTCGTAACAATGAACTTAAAGTATGCTCTGTGGAGAGAAAATACGATCGTTTTCACACGGCAAAAAGCCCAATGGAGGTCATTAAAAATTTTGCTATCAACGGACAGGGTGGGTCCCAGGTGGCTTATCTTGCGTCGTCTCGGGAGTGTTTGTTTTGTGACTTCACGACTGCTTGCAGAGGTCAACATTTCCTTGAAAGGCTATAATACAAGCTTGAGATCATGTGCAAAACATAACAGCGATCTGTCAGACAGGCCTAAAAAAAGGTATAATGTTATTGGAATATTTTAACTGGTAAGTCTTCATAAAAAAAAAAACGCTTATTACAAAGGCGTGAGCGAGATGGAGTTGATGATGTCAGACTGGTCTTACTGATAATAGGAATGTTTCAGATGTTGTTTGAATTTGGATTTCGTTGTTTGGGAGTGATGTGTTGATATAACTTTTAACTTCAAAATGCATCAGCAAACGCACATTCTCGGCAAACAACTAGCTACCAGCGTAAACATCGCTTCTAAAGGTCACTTATTACCAAAGAAAAATAAATAAGAACAGGAGACCATTACCCTGCCCAGAAAATTTATTTGAAATTTCAAACACAAACTGACCCAAATTGCATCAGAAAATTACTTTGGCAGACAGACACTCTCCTAATTTGTCGAGTTGTTTGTTATTTAAAAAACAACAAGGACCGTGTTA